CTGAGGCCTTGCACACTTTCACACTTGACTCAGGCATGTCATTTTGCTTCTTTCGTAACTGCACCACACTCACACCACTTGCTGCACCAATACCGGTCTCACTGGCTGACCCCACTGGGGGCCCAGTAGTTGCACGAGCCTCCACTGTCCTCTCGTGTCCAGTAGTCCCCTTCGGTTCTCTGTCCAGCGTGCCGCTCCTCATTCCTCCGAGTTTCCTCCGACCACTGCTCCTCTGCAAACTCTCCACATGGACGTTTGGGGCCCGGCCCCCGTCGGTGGAACGGACCAGGAGCGCTACTTCCTGCTGGTTGTTGACGAATACACACGTTACACCACTGTCTTCCCCTTGCGGTGCAAGGCGGACGTCAGCGGTGTTTTGATCCCCTGGATCCGTGCTACTCGTCGCCAGCTGCGCGAGCGGTTCGGTCAGGACTTCTCAGTCCTGCGTCTGCACTCTAACAGGGGCGGTGAGTTCTCTTCTGACCTCCTTGCGGAGTTCTGTCGAGACGAGGGCATCGTCCAGTCGTTCACGCTTCCGGCCTCTCCTCAGAAAAATGGGATTGCTGAGCATCACATTGGCTTGATCATGGAGTTTGCTTGTATCTCCATGATCCATGCGGCTGCTCCCCATTTTCTGTGGCCGTTTGCGGTCCGATACGCTGCGCATCAGCTCAACCTCTGGCCCCATGTCTCTGAGCTAGAGACCTCGCCCACACTCCGGTGGACGGGGAAGGTTGGCGATGCATCGGTGGTTTGGGTCTGGGGCGCGCTCTTCCTTGTTTGCGATGCCAAAGCGAGCAAGCTCTCCTCTCTCACTCTCCGCTGCATATTCCTTCGCTTCCCCACAGACGCCCCGCCGTGGCAGTTCTACCACCCGCGCTCGCATCGAGGGTTCTCCTCCCAGGACGTCACCTTTGACGAGTCAGTCTGTTTCTACAGACTACACCCGCACGCGTCCCACCCGGTCCCCCTCGCACCTCTCTTCCTGGTACCAGTCCCCCCCCTGGTAGACCCCCTCCCTCCACAGGGTCGTGCTCCCTCAGGTGTCTCTCAGGTAGACCCACCCCCCTTGGTTGAGCCTTTGGAGATCTATTCTGACTCCTTTGGCCCAGCTGAGGGGGGTGACCCCGCCGCTGACGACACGACGGCCACTTGCCGCTCTCCGCGCTTGGAGAATCCCCCCTGGTTTTCCGCCTCGGCCGTCTTCGCCGCCTCCGCAGCTTGCTGCTGTGGACTCTGCCGTTGAGACTGCTAGTGCTGAGCCTAGGGGTGCTGAAACAGAGGGTGAGGGTTTTGGGGGTGCTGCGACTGGGGGTGCTGGTTCTGGGGGTGCTGACTCTGGGGTTGCTGCGAGTCCTAGTAGCGGTGGAGCTGTGGGTGACCCTGTTGGAGGTACTAGAGGTGCTGCTGGTGCTGAAGGTACTGGAGCTGCTACTGCTGGAGGTGCTGCTGGTGCTGGAGGTGCTGGAGCTGCTACTGCTGGAGGTGCTGCTGGTGCTGGAGGTGCTGCTGCTGCTGGAGGTGCTGGAGGTGCTGCTGGTGATGGAGGTGCTGGAGCTGCCACTGCTGGAGGTGCTGGAGCTACCACTGCTGGAGGTGCTGGAGGTGCTACTAGTTCTGGAGGTGCTGCTGGTGCTGGAGGTGCTGGAGGTGCTGGACCTGCTGGTGCGTTTCGCCACCTTCTCGGTCTTCCGCTAGCTCCTACTGAGTTCCCAGTCGCTGGTACTACTCCTCCGTTACTGTTCCCACCGCTACTGCCTCACTCCCCACTGCCTGCTCCTGCTCCTTACACTGCTGTGACAGAGTCCCTCACTGAGCGTCGAGAGCCTGAGACTCGTGCTTCCACTCGTGAGCGTCAAGAGCCTGAGACTAGAGCTTCTGTTCCTGCTCGGGTTCGTCGTGTGCGTTGTCCTCGTGCTCCGGCTGTCCCAGGCACTCACGATATGACACTCCATCCTTCCTCTGTTCCACTCCGTATTGTCTTACCGCCACCTCCTGCGTCTTCTCTTCCAGACGTTGCTGATCCTCCGTCTGACCTTGCTCGTGCTTCCAATCCGACTGTCACTCGCTTGCTTCCTACAGTTGTGACCAACCCTACGTTCTCGTCTCCTGCTGCAACTGCCTTAGTCGCTGAGCTAGTTGAGTTTGCTGCTGCGCACCGCCTAGACTACCTTGCAAGTCTTGTTTCTGACCCTGACCCTGCCTATCCTCCATCCGTTGGGGGTGAGGTTGCCCTTGGCTGTGACGTTCTTGAAGACATACAGGAGGAGCTGGAGTGTCTTACGACTGCTTCACCTCATCTCGCAACCATGCTGCTTGCCCTTTAGGGAGACCCGGATGCACCAGACATCCCCACCCCGCGCTCTTACAGAGAGGCGATCTCGGGCGAGTACTCCTCTAAGTGGCAGACAGCCACGGACGCAGAGATGGCTTCCTGGAAGTCCACAGGCACCTACGTTGATGAGGTTCCCCCACCTGGGGCGAACATCGTCAGTAGCATGTGGATTTCCAGGTTGAAGCGGCCGCCGGGTTCTCCGCATGCCTTCAAGGCACGTTACGTTGCTCGAGGCTTTAGTCAGCGTGAGGGGGTCGACTTCTTTCAGACCTTCTCCCCCACCCCGAAGATGACCACTCTTCGGGTGTTGCTACACGTTGCAGCTCAGCGTGACTACGAGCTGCACTCCCTTGACTTCTCCACATCTTTCTTGCAGGGCAGCCTTCGCGAGGCCATCTGGCTGCGCCGTCCACCTGGCTTCACTGGGTCGTTTCCTGAGGGTACCCAGTGGAGCCTACGACGACCAGTGTACGGCCTCCATCAGGCACCTCGCGAGTGGCACGACACACTGAGGACGACACTTGCGGCTCTTGGGTTTGCTCCTTCGACCGCCGACCCGTCGCTGTTTCTGCGCACCGACACTACCCTGCCGCCGTTCTACGTTCTCGTGTACGTCGACGACTTGGTTTTTGCCACTACCGACACAGAGGCGCTGGCCCTAGTGAAGGCGGAGCTGCAGGAGAGACACACCTGCACTGACCTAGGTGAGCTGTGGAGATATCTTGGCTTGCAGATCACCCGCGACAGAGCACGGCGCACCATCACCCTGACTCAGTCACACATGGTGCACCAGGTCCTCCAGCGCTTTGGCTTCCAGTACTCCTCGCCACAGCCCACTCCTCTGTCTACCGGTCACTCGCTCTCAGCTCCACGTTCGGACGAGTCCGTAGAGCCGAGTGGTCTGTACCCAGAGCTTGTGGGTTGCCTCATGTAACTGATGACATGCACACGACATGACCTCGCGTACCCTCTCAGCCTCCTGGCTCGCTACGTGGCACCTGGTAGACACCGAAAGGTGCACTTTGATGCTGCGAAGAGGTAACTGTGTTGCTTGTGTAGTACATCGGGCATGGGGCTCGTGCTTGGAGGACGGGGTTCAGTGGTACTCACAGGACACTCTGGCGCTTTTTGGGCCGACGACCAGGCGACTCAGCGTTCGTCACAGGGTTACACCTTCAGTCTTGGCTCTGGTTCTGTCTCGTGGAGGTCCACTTGTTCTTCTTCTGTGATTAGTTCTAGCTGTGAGGCCGAGATCTACGCTGGGGCCATGGCTGCACAGGAGCTACGCTGGCTCACCTACCTGCTGACCAACTTGGGGGAGCAGCCTCGTTCTCCTCCAGTTCTGTACGTCAACAACAAGGCAATGCTTGCCTTTTGTTGTGAGAAGAGACTGGAGCACAGAACGAAGCACATTGCTCTTCCTTAGTTTCTTGCTTGGGAGCTGCAGCAGCGTGGTCAGCTGCGCCTTGCTTACGTGGCCTCTCGGGCCAACACTGCTGATGTTTTCACCAAGGCCCTTGGGTCTGGTGATCATCAGCGTTTCTGCACTGCTCTTGGGCTTGTGCCCACTCTGCCTCACCTGCTGGTTGCTTGACTTGGACTTGTTGTACACTGATAAATATCGTTATACCTGCTCGTTTCCTCTTGCTAGGTTTTTTATCAGTGTACTGCCTTGCTATTATAACTCTGCATGTGAACTGGCCTTGTGGCCACTTGCTTGTTTCTCAGATTGTGTGGTGTCTTTGAGATCCACCCTGGGCTTTGCCTTGGTTGTTCTCTTGCTTGACTGATCTTGTGACCACTGTTAGGTTTGGCTATCCCCTCCTTCATATGTTAATATGTTTCTAGGTTGTGTAGGGGTTATCCCTAGAGGGTGGAACCATTTTCCTCGACAATCTCGTACCCCCCCTTCTTAACTAATCGACATCATTCTCACTAGAGTTCTAACATAGATGTCGTCTGATGCACCTGTCGCGGCTGTTGCTGTGGGGGAAAGGTTGACAGAGGTGGTTGAAGCACCTGCAGCGCCATCCACCGCCGCCTTGCCGCATCTGCCGCTACAGGGGAGGCAAAGGGGGTGGTAGTAGTGGCTGGCATCGCTGCTGATGTGCTGCTGAGGCTCTTCTAACGTTCTTGACGCCGCTGCTGACGCAGCTACACCGTCGCACCTCGTCCTCTCATGCACTCTCTTCCCCAACTGCTTGTCAAAATCAATTATATACTTGTAGGCTGTAGGGTACAACCATTTTAGGGTTGACACAAATCTTATTGGTACGAGTCACAAATCATTCCGCCGTTCACACTCTTGATATGGTATCATACTCTAGGTTAGGGTCGATCCTAGATCCTGGGCCCGTTACTGCCCGCGCGCCCTACCTGTGCGCCCCTGCTGCCTGCGCGCGGCCCTGCTGCCCGCGCTGTCAGAATATAATTACATGCATTATATTATAACTGCCTGTAGTGTAGACTTAATGTAGTTTCTAAACTTGTTTGGTGGTGCACCTCTCTCTTTTCCTTGCATATATGTTTCCAACTTTCTATAGTGAAACCCCTCCTTTCTCGACTTTCTTCTCTTGCTTGCCATAACTCTCTCGACATCCATGCCTAGTCTCAACCCTAGCATGGCTCCTAGTCTCACACTGTAGTTACTATTTTGACACGCGCGTCACTGCCGCCCGCGCGCGCCTGCTGCCTGCGCGCGCCTGTTGCCTGCGCGCCCTGCTGCCTGCGCGCCCCTGCTGCCCACGCGCCCTACTGCCCGCACGCCCTGCTGCCCGTGGGCCACTGCTGCCCGCACGCGCCTGCCGCCCGCGCGCGCCTGTTGTGCGTGCGCCCCTACCGCCTGCAACCCACGCGCCCTGCTGCCCGCGCGCCCTACTGCCTCCGGGCCCCTGCTGCCTGCGCGCACCTGCTGCCTGCTCGCCCTTGCTGCCTGCGCGCGCCCGCTACTAGCGCGCCCCTGCTGCCTGCGCACTGTTAGAATCACTATGCAAGAATGAGGAATTACTAGGAACAAGGAGATACAAATATGAAACCCTAATTGGGGTTGTACTCTGTACTGAGCACCTCACTGTAGCCTAGCAGAACTAACAACATATAAATATGTTTTGACACAAACCCCTAGGCAAAGTGAGGGATAGCCAACACAACAAATGGTCACAAGGCCAGTCAGGCAAGAGAACAAAGCAATGTAAAGCCCAGGGTGGATCTCAAGATCACCACGCATTCTGAGCACAAGCAAGTGGCCACAAGGCCAGTTCACATGCAGAGTTATAATAGCAAGGCAGTCCACTGATTACAACCTAGCAAGACTAAACATGCAGGTTTAAATATATATATCAGTGTTAAGCAAGTGCAAGATCAAGAGACAAGCAGGTGAGGCAGAGTGGACACAAGCCCAAGAGTAGTGCAAAAGCGCTGATGATCACCAGACCCGAGGGCCTTGTGCAAGAGTAGTGCAAAGTAGCGAAGAGCAATGTGCTTCGTTCTGTGCTCCAGTCTCTGCTCGTGACACAAGGCAAGCATGGCCTTGTTGTCGACGTACAGAACTGGAGGAGAACAAGGCCGCTCCCCCAAGTTAGTCAGCAGGTAGGTCAGCCAGCGTAGCTCCCGTGCAGCCATGGCCCCAGTGTAGATCTTGGCCTCACAGCTAAAACGAAGTACAGAAGACGAATGAGTAGACCTCCACGAGACAGAACTAGAGCCAAGACTGAATGTGTAACCCTGTGACGACCGCTGAGTTGCCTGGTCGTCGGCCCAGGAAGCGTCTGAGTGACCTGTGAGTACTACTGAGTCCCGTCCTCCAAGCACAATAATCATGCCCGATGTACTGCACAAGTAATGCAGTACCCTCTTCGCAGCATCCCAGTGCACCTTTCGGTGTCTACCAGGAGCCACGTAGTGAGCCAGGAGGTTGAGAGGGTATGCGAGGTCAGGTCGTGTGCATGTCATCAGGTGCATGAGGCAACCTACAAGCTCTGGGTAGGAACCACTCGGCTCCATGGACTCGCCCGAAGATGGAGCTGAGAGCGAGTGACCGGTAGACAGAGGAGTGGGCTGTGGCGAGGAGTACTGGAAGCCAAAGCGCTGGAGGACCTGGTGCACCATGTGTGACTGAGTCAGGGTGATGGTGCGTCGTGCTCTGTCCCGGGTGATCTGCAAGCCAAGATAGCTCCGCAGATCACCCAGGTCAGTGCAGGTGTGTCTCTCCTGCAACTCCGCCTTCATTAGGGCCAGCGCCTCTGTGTCGGCAGTAGCAAAAGCCAAGTCGTCGACGTACACGAGAACGTAGAACGGCGACAGGGTAGTGTCGGTGCGCAGAAACAGCGACGGGTCAGCAGTCGAAGGAACAAACCCAAGAGCCGCAGGTGTCGTCCTCAGTGTGTCGTGCCACTCGCAAGGTGCCTGACGGAGGCCGTACACTAGTCACCGTAGGCTCTACTCGGTACCCTCAAGAAACGACCCAGTGAAGCCAGGTGGACTGCGCAGCCAGATGGCCTCATGAAGGCTGCTCTACAAGAAAGTTGTGGAGAAGTTGAGGGAGTGCAGCTCGTAGTCACGCTGAGCTGCAACGTGTAGCGACACCCGAAGAGTGGTCATCTTCAGGGTGGGAAAGAAGGTCTGAAAGAAGTCGATGTCAGAGGAATGAACGAGGATGAATGAATTATGAAACAGTTGGGTACAAGTACTAGCCCAAATTGGGTTGTACCCCTTATGGGCTACACCACTATAGCCTACACAAATGTAACCACTATAACATTCCGACACACCCCCATAGGCAAAGTGGGGGAGAACAAGTGGTCACAAGACCAGTCAAGAAAGCAAAGCAAGCTCAGGGTGGATCACAAAGTCACCACACAGTCCGAGCACAAGCAAAAGGCCACAAGGCCAGTTCACATGTAGGGTTATATAAAACAGAACAAACAAAACAGTGATCATGGCCTACCAAGTGTAAGCATGCAGACATATATGTAGATCACTGTACAGACAAAGTCACGAAGTGAGCAAGTGAGGCAAAGTAGGCACAAGGCCTAACACTGTAGAGAAGCGCTGATGATCACCAGGCGGAAGTGCCTTGGTGAATACATCAGCAGTGTTGGCCTGAGTGGTCACGTACGCAAGACGAAGCTGACCACGCTGCTGCAACTCTCGAGCAAGGAAGTATCGCAGAGCGATGCGCTTCATTCTGTGCTCCAGTCTGTGCTCCTAATACAAGGCAATCATGGCCTTGTTGTCTACGTACAGAACTCGAGGCGAACGATGCTGCTCTCCCAAGTCAGTCAACAGGTAGGTGAGCCAGCGTAGCTCCTCTGCAGCCATGGCCCCAGCGTAGATCTCAGCCTCACAATTGGAGCTGAGAACCGAAGACGAGCGGGTAGACCGCCAGGAAAAAGAGCCGGAGCCAAGGCTGAAGGTGTAACCCTGTGACGACCACAGTGTAGCTGAGTCGTCAACCCAAGAAGCGTCGGCGTGATCGGTGAGGACAACTGGACCTCGTCCTCCAAGCACGAGCCCCATGCCCGACGTACTGCACAAGTAACGCAGTACCCTCTTCGAAGCATCCCAGTGCACCTTTCGGTGCCTACCAGGAGCCACGTAGCGAGTCAGAAGGCTGAGATTGTACGCGAGGTCAGGTCGTGTGCACGTCATCAGGTACATGAGGCAACCCACAAGCTCTAGGTATGGACCACTCGGCTCTACGGACTCGTCCGAAGGTGGAGCTGAGAGCGAGTGGCTGGTAGACAGAGGAGTGGGCTGTGGCGAGGAGAACTGGAAGCCGAAGCGCTGAAGGACCTGGTGCACCATGTGTGACTGAGTTAGTGTGATGGTGCGCCGAGCTCTGTCCTGGGTGATCTGCAGGCCAAGGTAGCTGCGCAGTTCACCCAGGTCAGTGCAGGTGTGTCTCTTCTGCAGCTCCGACTTCACAAGGGTCAGTGCCTCAGTGTCAGCAGTGGCAAAGACCAGGTCGTCGACGTAGACGACGACGTAGAATGGCGGCAGCGAGGTGTCGGTGCGTAGAAACAGCGGCGGGTCAGCAGTCGAAGGAGCAAACCCAAGAGCCGCAAGTGTAGTCTTGAGTGTGTCGTGCCACTCGCGAGGCGCCTAGCGGAGACCGTAGACTGGCCGCCAGAGGCTCCACTGGGTACCTGCAAGAAACGACCCAGTGAAGCCAGGTGGGCGACACAGCCAGATCTCCTCGTGCAGGCTCCCCTGCAAGAAAGCTGTGCTGAAGTCAAGAGAGTGCAGCTCGTAGTCTCGTTGAGCAGCGACGTACAGCAACACCCGAAGAGTGGTCATCTTCGGGGTGGGGGAGAAGGTCTGGAAGTAGTCAACCCCTTGTCGCTGACTGAAGCCTCGAGCAACGTAACACGCCTTGAAGGCAGGCAGAGAACCCGGCGGCCGCTTCACCTTGAAAATCCACATGCCATCGACTGTGTTCGCCCGAGAGGGGGGAACTGCGTCGACACAGGTGCCTGTGGACTTCCAGGATGCCATCTCGGCATCCATGGCTGCCTGCCACTGAGAGGAGTAAGGACCCGTAATCGCCTCTGCGTAAGAGCGCGGGGTCGGGATGTCTGGTGCATCCGAGTCTCCCTCATGGGCAAGCAGCACAGAAGCGAAATGAGGTACAGTAGCTGCAAGACACTTAAATTCCTCCTACCTGTCCTCAAGGACGTCCGTGCCAAGAGCACACTCACCCCCAACGGACGGAGGACTGGCAGACTCAGTCTCAGCCACAAGAGCTGTGGCGTAGTCCAGACGACGGGCAGCAGCAAAGTCAAGCAGCTCAGCAACGAGGGCAGACCCAACAGTGGACTCAAAAGAAGGGTCTGTGACAACAGTAGCGAGGAGACGAGAGACAGTGGGACGGGCAGCATGCACAAGGTCAGACCCAGGGTCAGGGACAACAGGAAGAGAGGACTCAAGAGGAGGCGGCAGAGGAACACGCAGTGGAACATAGGAAGGACGAAGTGCCATAGCATGTGTGCTAGGGACAGGAGGAGGACGCGAACCAGGAACGCGACAAGCAGTGCGAACAAGCGAGACAGGACGAGACGCAAGCTCACGACGCAATGTAAGTCCGCTGGACTGCTCAGTGTAAGGAGAAGGAGCAGGCAGTGAGGAGGCTGGCTGCAACGGCAGCTGCGACTGGTGAAGCGGTGGACACAGCAGGGGAGGAGTAAGGCTAGTAGAAGACGGGACACCAAGAACCTGCTAAAGCAGGGGAACGAAGTACAATCGCTGCCGCACAGTGCCTCCAGCACCAGTACCACCAGCACCCCCAGCTGCAGCACCTCCAGCTCCAGGGTCAACAGCTCCAGCTCCTCGAGCTCTAGCGCCTCCCGCGCCAGTGCCTCCAGCTCCAGCTCCTCCAGCTCCAGCGCCAGTGCCTCCAGCTCCAGTAGCTCCAAGCTCCGTAGGGTCTCCAGCTCCAGCTCCTCCAACACTACCAGTCCCGGCAGCTCCGGTACCCACGGTACAAGCACCTCCAGGACCAGCAGCCGCAGTACCTCCAGTACCACCAGCTCCAGCAGTAACTCCAGCACCTCCAGCTCCAGTGTCTCCAGTGGCTCCAGCTCCGACAACTCCACTCTGAAGGTGTGCGCGCCGAACAAGCCACTCACTAAGCTGCTGCGGGGAGAGAGGCTCCGGTCAGGGAGACAATCTCGGCGAAGCACCAGTAGGACCTCCAGACGAATCAGCACCCCGAGACTCAGCACCCCCAGACTCCGCACCCTCAGACTCAGCACCCCCAGGCTCAACACCCTTAAGCTCAGCACCCCCAGGCTCCGCACCCCCAGGCTCAGCACCCCCAGACCCGGCACCCTCAGACTCAGCACCCCCTGGCTCAACACCCCCAAGCACAGCGCCCCCAGGCTCCGCACCCCCAGGCTCCACACCCCCAGGCTCCGCACCCCCAGACGCAGCACCTCGAGCAGCACCTAAGTCGCCAGCTACCTCAACAGGCACAGTACCAGGGAGAGGGTCTACCTGAGACACACCTGAGGGAGCAGGACCCTGGGGCGGGAGGGGGTCTACCAGAGGGGGACCGGGAGCAAGGAAGAGCGGCGGGGGCGGGGGAGGGGCAGAGCGGTAGGGGAAGAGACGGTAAAAGGGAACCGACTCGTCAAACGTGACGTCCTGAGAGGGGAAGACACGGCGCGAGGTGGGGTGGTGAAACTGCCAGCCAGGTGTGTCAGGGGGAGAGCCAAGGAAGACAAAGGG